TTGAACTTCTTGCTCCTCCGCATAACTTAACCAAAATGGATGCCGGTAAATTGGCCGCATCCCCGGCTCCAATATAATCCCATGCTCCACACCTCGTAATGGAGGCAACCCATGAAGAAGTTCAAATGGAAAAACATCAGAAAACTCGTCAAGTACATCCTGTACTACTGCTTCTCCCCTGCACGTGCCTTGGTCCCCCAAGTCATAAATAAACAACAAGTAACACAAAAGTGCTTTTCCATTACAACAAGCCCGCTTCAAAGATGTATGTAAGTGACTAAATTTTCCATTCTACTTTAGTCACTTAACCACACCTCTGACCACTTTGAGGAGTCTCACTCACAACCTTCATAAGTCCAACTCAGGACATAGGACCTGCTTGTCCCGAGAATGGCATCTATGCCACTCATCCTTTGCACTTAGTCAAAGTGCTCCACATGTCCAGTCCTAAGATCGACACCCCAAGATACCACCGACATATCAGCCCATTACGCTAAGGCTATGCTCCTTTACCTTGGTCACACCGGTGGTCTAACACCAGTTGCGTCACCGTCCTGTCTCTCAAGGACTGGGGCATCCATCCATGATTGATTATCCCAAATCCACTCCTTAGTATCCTTAGGATGCCCGTAGGCATGGGGAATAGCCTTCCCCAATATCCCTTTCCGGTCCTCACCAAGACCCTTTCTATCCATGGCTGTGTTTGCTATCACTGCCACTTGTTCAAGGCCCACATGCCCGACCACTAAGTCCCCTAGTCTCCTGGGACTTCCTCCTCCCATCACTGCATCCCTGGTTTCTACACTCGAGGATTGCTCCTCTTCCTTTTCACAGGCTGGGACTTCGGGACAACATTTCGGAACACTGTGGCCTTATGCAGGCCCCGTGGGTACTCTCCCCACCTTCTGCCTTTAGGTGCTCTAGCCATGGGTTTAGAGCGAGGTTCCGTTGAGCCACATTAGGTATCCAAGTAGGTAGTGCCACCCACACTTGGACTGGGAGCATCGGCCATTCGATCTCCTGGGGGAACTAGAGTCGGCTCTTGAACACTTCACCAAGCTACCCCACTTGTCAGTCTGTATTCACTCTAGTCTTGGACTTCTCAATGGATATCCCATCACCCAACACTTGGGCACAGCCTTCCTGGGCTAAACTGGCCTTTCCTGGCCAAATGGGCTCCACTGGAGTCCTCCCCCTAGTATACTTTTGGAGCTCACCAAAGCCCCCAGGGTCTGGGAGACGAACACTTTGGGCTTTCACCCTCTCAAACTCGGACTCGGACTCGGACTCAGACTCGGTCCCGGCCTCGGCCTTGGTCTCGGTCTTGGTCCCGGTAGCGATCCTTGAGGCCGCAGCAAATGTCCACCGTTTCATCTAACTGTGTGCCATACTCCCGTCGATAAAAAAAAATATAGAAAAACTTTCACTTACTTGTAGAACGAAAGGGCCCGCTAGCTCCACTTTGTGCATCGCCTGGACCCCTGGAGGAAGCACAGCATCGGTGACGAGATTGAAATCGGCAGCGAGGAGCTGCGCAAAGCATTTCTTGGTGCACAAGTCTACCGGCAACTATGACGCTCCGATCTGCTCGCGCAGGCAAGAAGAAAGCCACTGCGCCTTAGGCCACATTCCACGAGAAGCCATAATCTCCACAACCCGCTCCTCCTCCCGCCATTTTGCTAGCTTGAAAGGTTCCAGGAATATGCTTGCCAAGCAAGGGCTTTATGGTGTTTTGCCGCGCGCACTCTCTTCTCTTCCAGATCGCGCATTGCAGCAATTCGATCCTGCCGTGCCGAGGATATCGTTCCCCAAGACGCGCCACGGCGTGACATGGGACGATCCCTGCCACTGGCTGCGAAATTCAGACGAATCAGCACGCGCAATCGACCATGGCTGGGACAAGGGAGCTGCAGCGCCAGATCCGCCAGGAAATGGCGAGTAGGATGGAGAAGGAGCTCGCGTCGCTGCCAGAGTGCTGGGGGCATTGGTGAGTTCTTCCAGTTTTTGGCTTAGACGAAAAGATGTAGGAAATTTCGTGCAAATCCCGGGGAAAGATCTACTCGAGACGAAGAGCCCGCAAAGGTGGAAGGCTGAAGGCTTTCTTGACAAAATTTTCTCGACAAGAAGCAGAGTGAAGTGATGATCGACATCAATGCGCTTGCTGCGAAGCACGATAAAGTTTTGAGGATCTATCCTTCGTTCTCTCGTCGTAGCTATCATGAGGATGATCGATCGAAAGGACCTGCATTGCGATGAATGAGATTCACAAAATTCGGCACTCTGAGACCAGGAAAGGAAACGAAGCGACTAGAGCAAAAATCAGGGAAGAGCTCACCGTTTTATACCCCCGGGAAGTGGAAGGCCAACGGCCTGTGGCAACAAGTTTAATAATCCAACACATGATTCAACACAGCAATCCAGGCACATATAACTCGTCTTTGAAAGCATCGAGCTCATAAGACCAAACGTTTTGTGACGACTTAGTTTATAGTAGAACTTAGAGAAATTTTTGTCACTGCCTCGTGTAACTAAGGTTTTTCCATGGTGAAGCGCAGCTGGTGTAGTGGTAGTATCCTCCCACCTCATCCGGATGGTTTATTTCCAAACAGATAGAGCTGATGATCCACCAATGTTTTGGGCGAGAAGACACTAGCGTCACTACTTGGCAGGTTGTCCCATGAAATCGCCACCGTCCATCAAACATCATCCCAGCCGTCGATATAAACCCGTTTTGAAGAAGCTAGGTCTTCCATTCAGCAAGAAGGTCTGGGAGCGATGGCGCGTGACACTGGTGAGTTGAGCGAGGATGACTGTAGTGAGCTTCTCAAGTTTTACATGAGGGGCAAGCAGCTGGGATGTGGAGGGCAAGGGCAAGTTTTCATGATCCATAATGGCCGCAACACATATGCTGGAAAGTTGTTTCGATCGGGGAGTGATGCCGAGAGAGAAGCTCGGCTCATGTCCAAGCTTCACGCCTGCCCTGGGGTCGTCTCCTTCAAGGGTTTTGTCAGGGAGAGAGATGGTGCCAAGTGCTATGGCACCATTGTCATGGAGCTGTGCGGTCCAAATCTATGCGAGGGATTGATCAATTGCGGGCCGATGAGGGAGGAGGATGCACTGAAGACCATCAAGAAGCTGGCTGAAACGCTCAAGGAGATCCACTCCAGGGGAATTATCCACCGGGATCTCAAGCCGGAGAACATTCTTGTCAAGCTCAATGCCACTGGTGTGCACGATGTTCTGATTGGAGACTTCGGGATAGCCACAGACCTGCACAGGGAGATGTCAAAGTACTGTGGCACAGAGAAGTATATGGCACCAGAGGTGATGGCGACTAAGGGTCGCAAGGGAGAATCACAGAGCTTCTACACGGCAGCCATTGATGTGTGGGGTTTGGGAGTCATTGCATACGAGCTGTTGAGGAGTTACAAGTCGAGAATGGAGATCGATTTCTTGAGAGCGGGAGCATTTCCAACTGGTTTTGGCTCAGACCAAGTGGAGGATCTCCTCCAGGGGATGTTAGCTGTCGAACTGAGCAAGAGGGTAACGCTGGACCGTGTGCTTGCACATCCCTGGATCATGAAGCATTGCAGCAGAAGTAGCAAGAGCGAGACGGTGACACGCAGCAGGTGCTGTGGAGTGAAGAGGAGTCTTCCCAGCGGCAGCGACTTGATCGTGAAAAAAGCTCGTGCAGCTTAAGAACAAAAGCCAGCACCAGTTCGGTAAGCATCGTTTTTGATTGAAGAGTACAGGTACTAACTTTGCTTGCTTGGTCACCGGGTGGAATTTGTTTTTGTGAGACAATTTCGAGAAAGATTTTCTATAGCAATGCAAGAACTGTCTTTGCAAGTTATGAAGTTTCTTTTCTAAGTCAAATTCAATACAATGGAAGGGATCGCTGATGATCCTGGCGCAAACTGGAAGAGCTTCAACTCGGACAAGAAGCGTCCATCCATTTCCGGATGCATGTAGGCAGTCGTTCACCAAATATAAAGATCACCACACGCTTAAGAAAATATCTCATGTGTGCCTTTGTAAAAAAACACCTGGTATTTCTTGAGAAAAGCTTGACATTCTATAGCGGCACTTACATCCAACGGGAGTATCCGATCATCCTCTCAACCAGCTGCATAATTGGCGACCAGTCTTGATTAAACAGAATTGAAGCTTTACCTCGTGGTTCACTAGAGCTTCCATTAAACTTTCATCTTCGATGTATATCGCCAGCTGGCATGCATCCTTGCTCAGAAAACAATTTCTTTTCTTTTCTTTTATTACCTTAACTCGGCCTCATTGACTCCAAAAACCGCCTCTATAGAACTGCCAGATACGTAAAGGAAGTGGACTCCAGGCTGTCTGCGGCTGAAAAATGGACGTGAAGATCGTAAAATTTACTGCGAAGTTGTCTTCTCCGATGCTGTCCTGAAGTGAAGATAAAAAGAATTACGCATGGAGAGAAAACTTGATGTTTGTTCACTGTAGGAATCCGAACCGCGAAATAAATCTTCTATAGAAACAGGTGCTTGCCTAGAGACAGAAAATCAAAATAAGCAAACGTAGTCACTGCGCGAAGTTAGACTTGTATATGGATGATCACGAATTCTTCCTAATTACACAAGTGTAGGCCATGCACAGCTTGGAGTTTTTAAGCTATCCAGAGACCACAAACTGTTAGCGTACACAATCGACTTGGGTGGCAACGAGATCTTCACATTGTTTGTCAAAGACTTGGAGACTGATAGCCTCCTCCTGGAGCACAAAACCGATGGTGTAGTAAGTGTGGAGTGGTCTGATACTGGAGACTATCTTTACTACACTTGTAGTGATGCAGCACATCGACCTCACAGGTTTCTATTTGAAGTTTCTTCTAGAATCATTTTTTCTCGATCTCGACAGGGTTTTGTTGCAGAACTTGCGGTCTAAGATGATGACATTGCAATTTATCACGACGACAATCCAAAGAACTTTGTTGATGTTACAAGAACCAAAAAATGGCAGTACGTTTTGATTAATGTCAACTCGAAGACGTCCTCTGAGGTAATTGCGTTTCACAAATGTGTTGCTCGAGCCTGGTTTTTCTGGTAGATCCGAAAACTTCAGCCACAACGTTGCGGAAAGTTGCAGATAGAGTTGATGGCATCCAGTATTTCGTGGAACACCATGAAGAGCACCTGTATATTCTTACCAATTTTTTGGGCGACAAGAAGCTAGCGTCGCTAGGAAACAACTATCGGCTTGTCCGCTGCAAGACAGATAGCTTGACCTCGAAGGCGTGGGAGGTAAGTCAATTCTCGTTTTTTTCACAGCAAAAAATGAAACACTTTAGGAGGTTGTCCCAGTCGAGAGCGAAAATTGGATAGAGGATATGGATATTTTTGCGAAGCATTTGATCTTATACAGACGACAAAATGGTCTTCCCATTGTGCATGTTTTCAACCTGGATGTAAGCATATGGTAAAAGTTTTGGTCTCACTAAGCTCTTTCCTTTCAGAGCCTGAAAACTCCTCCTTGGACTGTAAACCTTCCCTCCGGGATAACATTTCCTACTCCTGGAGCAAACTGTGACTTCAATTCGTCTACTCTACGGTTGTCGATATCTTCACTGGTGGTAAGCTCTCTTTCTTTCTTGCATTAGATGTTCGGCGATATAAAGATTGGGCATGTAACGAAATCTGGAGAAATAGCGGGGCCACGTACATTGGAGCACATGGTTGATGTTTGTCTTCACTTGGAGTTTTTATCTTTGTTCGTTTGAGGTTGCCATATATTTCTTGTCTCTAGGGAGACCGTCTTTTGTCTCAACGGCTTCTAAGATCGCTAAAAAATCGCTTCGCTTCTACGAAAGAGGTGACTGTCTTTCAGCATTTGCTTTTAAATTGAATCTGGCTGTTTTATCTTTATTACAGGTCGGCGTGTTTGAGATGGTCGACAGCGGTTTACGAGCGGTAGAAATCCCAGTTTGATGTTTCTTTCTGATAGAACTGGGGAGGACAGTAATGCGTCAGCCACCGTTGGGGTGGCTTTGGAAGGATCTCGGCCGCTGCTGGTTGAAATCCAGGTAAGCGACTTCTAGGATTTACGTTGGATGATGATACTTTTAGCCAAATCTGAGCGTTGTCTGGCTGCTCTAGCTTTCCAGGTTCAACGAGAGACTGGTGGTAGATTCTTTGGAATTTCCCGAGTTTCGAGTGAGCTGGACTGCCAAGAACAGTTTCTCTGACTTGCCATGATCTGACTTTAAAACCGAGAAGCGTATCTGACAACGATCAAAAGCTAAAGTTTTCTCCGGCATGAACGCACGTTTTGCAGGTCTTATGCTCTCCTGCCACTTCACTGCCAAGTAAAAGAACGTTCACTGGAGTGGATCCATCTCGATTCAATCTGATTGTTGCCGTAAGTCACTCCATAAATATTCTCCACTTTTGTGAGGCTTGACGCTGTGATGCCAGGTCTTACTCAAACAAGCGCGCTTGAGACTTGCAAGACGGGTGCGTTCTGTACTTTGTGATAGCAAAAGTTCTTATGCTGAAATACTGCTCTAGGATATTTTTGTTAATGTCGTTGGAGGCTTTCGTTTGGAAGAGCCCGCCACAGATATTGCTGTTGCCGTCGCTATTGCCAGCAGGTACTTTCTCTCGACTAGCTGGGCATACCAACTCACGAGCTTCGTCTTGCTTGCGGTTCCTCGGGACACAGTCTTCGTTGGTGAGCTAGGACTCGGGGGAGAGCTGCGCTTTGTAAGTTCTTACGTGGTTTCTCACTTTTCAATGCTGGAAGTTCCGTCCATGCAGGTAGCTCAACTCGAAAGGCGACTGTTTGAGGCATCCAAGCTGGGTTTCAAGAAATGCATCGTCCCACAGGGTGCTAAAGGAGTCAAGGTGGACGGAATGGAGCTTATTCTTTGCTCGACCCTCAAGGACGTTCTAGAGAAAGTCTTCAACTACAAGAGCCTGCCCCAGCAGCGAAAGAGTGGAGCCACGGTTCATTTGGATGCGTTTTCGGAAGAAGACGGGGTGTGTGGTGAGGTCCAAGTCGGTCAGGACGCTCTTGACGATGATCTTGCTAATGATAAGTAATAAGCTTTTGCATCGTAAAATTTTAATCTCACAGGTGTACATATAATCTAGCAGCTTATACGAATTTTAAATAACCATATCGTTCCAAGGCTGTAGATCTAGCAATATGATTGGCGGTCTTGATTGTTCTCTTAGCCTCAACAGGCAGAGGGTGGAGGGGCTGTGATTGTCTCCTACCTTGGACAGTGCTTGGAGCAATCGCGCGTGTGATCCCCTTCTTCGTCGTGCAGTGGCTGCTTGGAACCAGTGGCACATAGAGGATTGAGCCACAAGAAGAAGAGTGAATCTTTCGGAGATGACCAACGATGACTCTAAAGCAATAAAATGCTTGTTATTAATAATGTAAAATACATTAAAAATAAATAAAAATACAATATAAATAAGAATTAACCTAGAAATTAATGAAAACATTATTTTAATTAAGATTATTATTCCTCCACATTATCTTCTTTAAAAAAATCATAAAATGTTACTATTAATTGTCCAGTATCTTCTATTTTTAAAATTGCAAATATTATGCATTTTGAGCAAAATATATTATTTTTCCATATAATATTATTGTTATTATCTATTATAAGTAAATGACCATCTAGTTGAAGATGAAGATAACAAAATATATTTGATCTTTCTGATATTGTAGACCATATACTTTTGATTGTTTCAATATCATCAATAACAAAATTACAATTTTCTAATTTGGCTCGAAATTTATTATTAGAAGAAATTAAACTATTACTATTTATTATAAATGTGCCATAAAAATTTAGAGGACTGTTAAGTAGTTGTGTTCAATATGGCCAACATTGTAAAAAAAAAACATCAATTCTACTATATAAAATAAGAACCTCCTCCAGATCAACAACGACAACAAGCAACCCAGCAAGAGATGATAAAGTTTTTTTTCTCTGTTTTTTATTTTATTTTTCATTTTTAGAATAAAATAAAGCTGCTTAGTACATAAAACTTGAAAAATTATATCGATACAATGTTAGCACGGAGGCCCTCCAAGGGTAATAAGGCCCAAGAGTGACCAGAGGTTTAAATTCAGTATTGACATGATATAACACAAATTTGTTTTAAAACAACAAATGCAAGAATTAAAATTTAAGACCACCTTAGCCATGAAAATGCCGCTCTGTCAGATGATGGCATTCCAAGATACACATTTCTCACATGCATCTTCTGAAACTGTTCTATATGGAGTCTAAAACGCCCCTCAAAGTACCTATACAGCGATTAGATCGATAATACTGTTGTCCAGGCATTGCAGTTGCATCATTGCCTGCTGCAAGTGCCCATTCCAGGCAAGCGCTACGAGCATGCCATTCCCTGAAACAACAGTCAGCTGCTGAATTCTGGCGAAGCACTGCCACGCATGTTGAATGCTGCCATTCTGTCCATCCATCTTTGTTGGATTGTGGAACTATGGACACTAGAGAAATGTATATTCTACATTCAATTCATAAGAAACACGCCATACTTCATAGAATATAACAAACCAGCTCCTCTTTATTTACGTATATGAATCCATGTCAGAGGAGCATAAGCTTACATGATTCCATAGCTAGAGATTGGGTTGAAGCCCACAGGCACAACAGCAGCACTGAAGATCTGAACCTCCTTGAGTTCACCATGAAAGTAGCGTTTGTTGTCACGGGGGTCATAACCAATGAAGACAGGTAGGCTGGAATTGAGCTTGACTATCTTGGAGCCGTTCTGTGACTTATCAAGTTTAGAATCAACGTAGATAGACCCAACAGTGCCATTTCGGACTCCAGCAACATGGTGCCAAGTTCCATCAGTGACTGGCACTGTTCCCTCAATTCTGAACTGGAACTCATCATTGTACACCGTAAACCATAGACTGCCATTGCGGATCCATAGCCACCACTCACCATAGATATGATCAGAGCGTTGCTGGATGATGCACAGTTCCTGCTTGATGCGGGGTGGGACCTTCACCCAAGCATGAACAGCAAAATCAGTCTGCCCAGAGAGAGAGGGCGTGGTGCCCATGGAAATGTATGTTGCACCATCAAACACAATACCATCAGTTGTGTGAGCAAGTTGGGACCCGGCCTGCTCCACAAGCCCAGTTGCCTTGTTCCCAGACGAGTCTGCGACCAGATGGCCTATCTTCTCATCCAGCTTCCACCATGCAACCAGTGACTTAGAGATGTCCGCATTCTCATCTGATGTCGAAGAAATGGAATTCGAAGCATCCACCACAGTGGCCAGAAGAACAGTAAGAGCAAAGTAGAAAGAGAGACAGGAAGCCATTGTGTTATGATTTTCACTTGCTGCTGCATTCTTATATATCCTTCTTGTGGCCACATACTTACGGAGAACTCCAGAATGCCTTAATGCATTAATTAACAAGGAAAATCTGAAAATTTAGAACAAACAACAGTTCGTACATAGACCCTTGTGGAGCTCGTGGGAAGGTATAACAACCTATGGTACATAATATTGAACACCAGTGCGATTGATCAAAAACTTTGTGAAATTCCAGCGAATTCGATCGCCATCGCTCTTGTCCTTGAGGTACCTGAAGAGAATACTTTAGGAATTGCCTCAATTGACATGAATATCTGGCCAGACCTCTAGAAATATTCCATGTGGCAGCTGTGCCTTATCCATGCCACCTGGATGGCCAGCTCAATGCCTATGTGGCAGGCAGGTTGGCTCTGAGCTGCAGGAGAAGCACGTTTTGCATTGTGGCTGGCAGGTCAGACTCAGTGTTCCTCCTTATCCTTCATCGAGAAGTCTGCTGTGGCATTCTTGCATGGGAGATGTTGCAGCCCGGCTGTACAATGATAGCATGAGGTGGTGTGGTCACAAACTATTATCATATATGTCTTTTGTAGCAACTTGTTCCCAAGTCCATTGTCATCATCAAAACAGATATAGATAGAGGTCTATAGCTTGATTGATCCATTTGATCAACTTGACACCACTTACTACTACCATGGGATATGCTACAATTTTACGAGTATTTACATAAAAGCTCTATTTCGTTAAAGTGGGAATTGTCATTATCCCACTTGTAAAATAAGGTTTCCAAACCTTTATATAGTATATAAATATAACAAAATTCAACTGCATTGAGGCACATGCCATTTTATTTTAAACAAGGAAATGTCTACTCAATCACTTCTCCTCCCCTTGCCACTGCTTCACCTCTCTCTTCTCCTTGTCATCGTCGTCCAATTTCTTTCCATCCTTTTAATATTGGCTCAGTTGCTCTGAGTCTAGGTGGAGCCCAAGTCCCCATTCAATTTTTACTTTCCCCTTATTAATAAAACAACTTCGTAGACTTCCAATAACATGCTGTAACACTTCTAGTATAATGCAAATCCTCTCAAAGAATTGTCTTTTAATATTAATACAATGGCATGGAACCCCATGCCATAATAAGTTACATTTTTAAATAAATACATGCCATCTCAGACTGTTATTTTTTGCCTCCAACGCCTATACAATAATCTTGGAATTTCATCACTCTCCACACTATCAGGATTTAAACCCAATAGTAATGCCATCTCTTCTCTAATACGTCCACGCTCATGTTCAGTGGTCGAAGAACCCATCCGGTTGAGCAGATTATGGAGATGCGGATAGTGCTTGGCTAGACAATATACATGCCATAAATGATGACTGGTGTCTGTCCGATCAAATGGCTTCTGATATACCGTTCCATCTGCCATTTGGTTGATTTCTGCAGCCACCTTCTGGACTAGCCGGTTCTCTATCACCATCGCTCCAAGCCGTTTTGCAAGGTCCCCCAGAACATACGGTTTCTTCTCCCTAGTTTCCATACTGCAAGAGATGGGGTGCACTGCATATGTGTGCGTGTTCGTTGCAGTTTTAACCGGCGAGTCATCGATGATGAGGATTTCACTTGACCTAGCAGTCTGGTTCATCACTACAGCCTCTGGCTTGACGAAGATGGGCTTGCTACCCCTCACATGGACCATAGTCAAGCAATCCTCCTGTGTTAGGAGAAAGTCAAATGGTAATATTACTCGCGTTTGATTGTGCATCATCTGTAGCAACGTTAATGCATTGTGGCGCATCATGGATGTCCAAACTCCCAATTGCAAATTGAACCCGGCCCTCTGTTTTAAGTGTCACATGGTCATTATTAGATCCCGCAGTTTCTCCCGTGTGATTAATGTGAATCTGTCTCTTTTGACCAACTTGCGACCGCAGGCTTTGGAGGGTGCAGTGACATTCGAGGACGAGCCACGCTCATGGGAGAAAAGGACACCGTTCAGATCAAAAACGATACAGTACCTTCGCCGTGACTCTGAAATGAAATGCGTCAGCATAAAAAATGGTACAAGTCAATTTTACCATCTACAATATTAGCGAATGGTGCTCCCGATGGTCGTTGAGAGGGTTTTGGTC